CTTTTCTAGAGGGCGCCACACATTTATCGAATCTAGTACTTGATTCAGAGACAGTTACGCTAAACTACAAATGAATTTCATATTAATAGACAAAGAAAATTATAAGATATTCTATCAAAGCATTATCTATTAAAAATGGTGTGTACATTAAAGTGCATTTTGTTTTAGACTGATCAAAGGATGAATCGCATATTGTCGTATACAGTAATACCATCTACTAGGCTCTCTCAGTTTAATAAAGGATGCATTTTTTTATGTAAGAAAAAAAAATTAAAATTAATCAATCGAATTTATCGAGAAGAATAAAATAATAGTACTTACTCAGAAAAAAAAGATATGCTGTCATCTACAATTCTTTACATTTATTCCACATCTAATGAACAAAACAACAAAGCATCTTTCTTCTATTGTACACTTCTTTGTGTTTCGTTAACTGTGCGCGTTCGTCTTCATTTCTTAGAATAATAACTTTGAACGACAACAAACGTCTGACTGTTTTCCTATTTTTAAATATTAAGTACTTTTAGATAAATATAATTACTCTAAACTTTTTCCTTATGGCGAACACAAAAAAAAAATTTGAAGCATGTCTATTACGTACCACAACTGATGTTCTTATTGTTGCTGAATGGCATCAGTTAGCAACAACAACTGATAAAGCAAAATTAACCGTTGGATCATGCGTTGGATACAAAGAATCAACCAAAAAACGAGGAAAAATTATTCGTGGAACTATTGTAATTACGGGTGAGTTATTATACTTAAGGTTCCACGTGTAATTGGCTTTTTTTAAGGAACATTACAAGCATGTAATCAACAAAAGAATTTATTGATGGCAAAGGTTAATAAAAAGAAAGTTCAAGAAAGCAATTTCGACGAGGAAGAAGAATCAACCGATGTTCAAGGTGATAAAAATTTATTAGATTCAGATGATGAACATTCGACTGACTCAAACGATGGATGTTTAAATATAGATGAGCAAGAAGAAATTTGTATGAAGGTTTAAGTTTATGCATTGGTTGACGCTTATTATATTTTAGGTGATGATGATAATCCAAAGGCGGTCGAAGTTGAACCAGTAAAAAATATTCAATTTGAAAATAAAAGTCCAAAAAACAAGACGAATGTAACAACTTCAAATCCAGAACATATTGAAGAAAATAGCAGTAAAGTTTCTGTAAAATTATTTTCTTATTTTACTTTATGTTAAACTATTTAGAGAAAACTTGTTCGTCTTCAAACAAGCGTATTCGTTCTGAGGATGAAACAGAAGAATCTCCAGTATCAAAACGAACTAATATATCATTGGCACGTTTTGATGAAATGGAAATGGAAAACAAAAGACTGAAAAAAGAAGTAAAGATGTACCAAGAGCACTGGATGCGTACGTATTATGCTTTTTGAGTATCTTAACTCTGGAATTAGAGAAGATTATTTTTATACGCTTTAAAATTAATTTTAAAAAAATAGTATTTCTATTTTTCTTGAATGCTTATAATCAGTTGTCGAGCCTATTTTTTTCTAATCTAAAATATCAGAAATACTGTGCATGTTTTCTTGCTAGATGACACCAATTTTCAAGAAATTTCTCATATTTTTTCTGATAGCTCGACCAACTGATCCAAGTGTCATCAGGTACTTTATAGGAATGGC